AAGAAAAGAAAAGAAAAGAAAAGAAAAGAAAAGAAAAGAAAAGAAAAACTTGAAAGTCCTGTATGGCCAACATGTAGGACATGTGAGCTAAACTAGAGCATGTATAGAACTCATTTGGGGTGTCAGGCTAACCTGGTTATCTCAGAGGGGTCAAGGTGGATGGAGAGACAATAAAAATTAACAGCAGTGTAAATAAAAGTGTTACGATGATAGCGGTGGAAATGGAAAGGAAACGTGGATGCGAAAAATATGAAGGAAGCAGTATTCTCAGGTATTGATGAATTGGCTTTAAGGCAGAGGAAGGTGTTTTTAACCTAAGGTTTCTAACCTGATGACAAACCTGGTGACCGACAACACTGATGGAAATGGGACCTTAGAGGAGGCACTAGCTTTCGATGATTAAAAAAAGGTGAGACTTTGATCTTGGATATTTTCTTAAACTGAACCCCAGAAAGTAGTCCTTGGATGTGCATGTAGACACTCAAGTCTTGGGGATTGATTCCATAGTCACCCATCCAAGAAACAGTTGGTAAAGCATTGCAATTTGTTGCTTCTCTTATTGGCTTCCTCCATACTGAAAAATATGTCTGAAAACTTCCCCTGTCTTTTCATCTTTACCATGCCATCTCTGCCTCCTGCCCTCTGAAAAAGCAGATTTGATTTCACAACCTGTTGGACGAGAAACACAGCATGCTAATCATAACACCATATTCTGCGAGGGCAGATTTTAACTACCCGGTACAACAAATTTCGATACAAAATATTCTGTATGACAAGTCCATTGCCAGGCTTATAGAAACAAGAAAGACATGGAAGCAAAGCTACTTACAACAAATTCTGTTGCACACATAATCTTGAACCGAAAAATTAAATCAAATAATTTCTCTGGTCACCAATCAAATAATGATAGAAAAAAGGCACGGAGCCATGGAAATTGGAGGGCATGTTCAGGGTATGACTAATAATCCAGAGTGCCTAGGGCCTAGGGCACCTGCAGTATAAGCTAAGTATTTCTGTGTTTATATCAGTTTCATCATCCTGGGGAGAGGACACCAGAGCCAACCACACTACCTGAGGTCTTTTACTTCCTTTTCCTGACCCCAAATCGCAATTAGCAACAATCACTTTCTAATTCCCTTCACCCATCTCTTCTTCGCGCCCCAAATTCACAGTTGCACTCCCACACTCCACGGTCATGATGTACCAAATCAACAAACAAAGGGAATGTTAAGCTTTGGATGAGCAAAGAGTTGGAAGAGAGGATCTCCATGTGACACATTACCGCTTTACCTGCTAGCAGCTAAGCTCATCTTTTCACTTTTCATTTGCTACTTTAACAAAAACCTCCATCACTACCCTTTCATCTCTACAGCCTGCAAATTTAGATTGTGATTTGAAATTATGTGTTCATCTGAAGTAAACCTAATAACAGCAAGAAAGTTGAATGTTCCTTAATGTATTCCGTGAATAGAAACTTGAAGCTGGAAGGAACATTTAAGGCCTTCTAATCCAAGCCCTTTATTTTACAGATGAGGAAACTGAAGCCCAGAGAGGTGAAGTGAGGTGCCCAAGGCCACACAGCAAGTTAGAGGCACAGCTAGTACCATAGCTCAAGTCTCCTGACTCCCAGTCCAGTGCTCCTCCCATTACTCCACGGGTCCTGTCTCTAAGCTTCCTGACAAATGCTAGAACGGTAAACCTCCACTAGTATTTTTCCAGACCATGTTAAAACTCTTAAGGGGGAAAAAAGGATGCTTTCTTGGATAATGTCAGCCATACGTAGCTCAATCTGTCTAAAGTTCTGGGACAGGGTCTTTTTATGCAGCCAACAGAGTCCAAATGTGGTGCTGTTTGCTTGGCCCATATGCTTTCATGTGTTCCCAGTTAGGCCATTACTGGAGGGAAAAAAACAAGAATCAGCTTGTTTTAAAACAAGGGACATACTGGACTCCCTCCCATCCCCCCTCAGAAAAAAAAAAAATCAAGTTATCTTTAACAGATTCTAAAAATGCCTTTTCCCAAATATGCAGTCAGTTCCTTCAAAGGGCCCTTTGTTTATTTTCAGGAAGAAACCCAAGACAGCTGAAAACCAGAAGGCATCTGAGGAGAATGAGATTACTCAGCCGGGTGGATCCAACGCCAAGCCGGGCCTTCCCTGCCTGAACTTTGAAGCTGTTTTGTCTCCAGACCCAGCCCTCATCCACTCAACACATTCACTGACAAACTCTCACGCTCACACCGGGTCATCTGATTGTGAGTACACCAGTAAGGTGATGGTGTCTTCGCGGCGCTTGGAGCATGCTTCTCCCCTGGGTTCTGGCTTTTTTGTTTTTGCGTTCAGAACAAGCTGTTTCCTTCTGGTCTTCTAGAGTAGTCGAAAGTAACCTGCCTCCATTTTGATTCAGCCAACATCTATATTTTCAAAGCTACAGTGTATTTTAAAACCAGGTGTCCAGCCATTTGGACTCAAAAGGCTGATTAATTACATGAACCACATTTTCTTTCATAGCATCCACTCAAAAAAAAAAAAAGGAAGAAGAAGAAGTTGTGTTACTGTTTTCTAATTATTCTTTTGTCCCCGCGATCTGAATAATGGCACTTCCACCATGACTAAATTGAACCACCAAATATGGACCTCAAAAAGCCAGTTAGACACAGGAAACATCCATTTTGAAATTACATAATACAAGTCAGCTTTGCATTAGTTATTGGAGTCTCATTTGGCTTGGCTGAATTTCCGTCTTTCCAGTTTTTAATTTATTTTGAAGTGGTTAAAGGATAGCATAAATTTACAGAAGAAAAGAGAATGGCTTCCAAGAATTCAGAATCCACCCAGACTTCACGTAGCCAATAAGCATTCAGGTTAAAAATATTTTTTAATTAAAAAAACTGCCTACGGGCTAAATTTGGAAATGGGCAGCTTAATGAGATCGTCGCTATTGAAATCACTCCATTGCTGTTTATTTTTGCTGTCTTCCCACTAATCTGAGAGTCACTTCTTCAAATTCTATTTTAAGAAAGTTGATAAATCACGTTTAGGAGCTTTTCTCTTTCTGAAGTGTAACCCAGTACTTCAAAGAGAAAGGAACATGTGTGTTGACAATGGAAAGGAATGGAATAACTTTGGGGACCAGGCTGAAGGAATATTCCTTTCGGTCTTGAGATACCCAACAAGTATTCTGAACTGATCTCCATAAAGGATGTCTAGTAACAGGCAGAGAGCTGGTGTGCTCTTTTTTAGAAGGAGGAAGATAAGACCAAGAAAGTTTCATTTTCAAAAAAGGACTCCAGTTATGCCATTCACAAACATAAACACTATTAATTAGGAAATGAGAGTCTAAGTCTCCTATTGTTATTTTCCTGACTCCACAAAGTGGGCGCGAAGCGGACGAGTCTGGGAGATCCCACTCCTTACTCGTTTCATCGTAAGAGCGTCTAGGTATAGGGACAAAATGCAGGGATCGAGTTTGGGGTGAAAGGAGCTTGTTCCACTCGTGGCTGGGCTGAGACCCTTCTGTCACTAGAAAATGAAACGAGAAAGAATGAGATCCAAATCTCTACAGCCCGTGTGGCTTGTACAAAGTTGCTGCCTCTATAGAGAAATCTGGGGGTCAGAAGCAAGGACTGTGTTCTGTGGACCATTGTAATAGTGACATCCTTGGCCCTTCTTGCCTGGCAGTCTCCAGCCTAATAGTAATTACAGGAAGAGTTGGAAAATAGCGTGGCACAGTGCCCATAGACATGTGCACACTGTCCCTACCTACCAGGAAGGTAGCCTGTTCCTGTGGAGAAGGGCCTGGAGCTCCTGCACGCAGACCTTCATCGCCTGGCTTTCTGCCACACCTTATGGGGAAGATTGCATAGAACCGCCTTAGCCCAGACATCCCCTGTTACAGCAAAATGAACGTTTTGCTGAATAGAGAAGGCACGGGGCTTCAGTTATTGTACTTTACCGTAAGCATCCCCTGGCCAGGCCTTGGCACCAGCGTGGATTATGTACAAGACACTGTACGAGCCTCCTGCTGCCACACAGCTCCTCGGTGACCCTGCGGGAGCCAGTAGATCTGAGCTCACAGCGAGGTGTCTGAATGCAGTTGGAAGGAGAACAAATAGGGAGGAGAAACCTAATCTCCAGCTGCTTAGAAAGTCATTCTGATTTTGCCATTAAGATGTGTAAGTCTTCTCTTCTCTAACCTGTTGTTTCAATCGATTATACTTTTCTACAAATATATTTGGATTGTAGTGTGTCCTGATTTGAGCCTACCCTTAGAAGAAAATTGTTTTTAGGAAAGATTCACAGAAATCTGTCCATTTGGAGATTGCTTGAGAGAAGACAGGAAAGAGGTTTATTTTAAGCTGTTAAATTTTTTGGATGCTCTTCTTGCATTCAAGAAGATTTTATTTTATTTTATTTTATTTTTTTACTTTCAAATGTCATTCTTACCACAGATTAATTTAAAAGCCTAATTTCTTTAAGGTAAAATATTCAGCTCCTATTTAGAACTAACAGATTTGGGGCATTTAAAAATAGTGCCCTGGACTTGTTAGTCTCTTTAACTTCAGAAACATTCCACCAGTGTGTGGTGTTCCAAGCTTTCACAAGTGCCTGAATTTTTATAGCACCTTTTTATTTGTTATGTGTTTAGCAGAAGTATTCTTAGCCATGCCTTAATGCCCATTTCCCGTCAGTCATTCTAATTCTTCCCAATTTATGGATGAGAAAACTGAGAAAATTGGCACGTCTATAGATGAATGACTTACTCAGTCGTTAACTCATTTGGATACTGAGGGATGTTTATGGATTTGCTCTTACTGTGGGCAGCCTGAATTCTCTGTTCCAAGCCTATAAATGGCATTCTTGAAAATGTGCAACTACTCATATCGGTGACCGAGTTCTAAAACACAGGGGATCAGCATTCCCACAGAAGAAGGGTCCTCTCAGCATATGAACCATAAGGGTGGGTCAGACGTAGTGTTGCTGCATCTGAAGGACACAGGCCAGTGTTTTAGACATGTCTGACCCATGAAATTCTCAGTTGTCTATTTAACCTGCCGAGACACTTCAAATTTTGCAAAAGATCCCTGTAATATCCAAAACAAGAAGGAACATGGTGGAGAGAGGTTTTCCTTTGTGAGATGATGAGGTTATTATTGCTACTGGAATGTGTGTTACTTTGCAGTGCACCCACTGACAATGGCCTCTTAGCAGGATTCCCCCATGCCTTCCTAGCCTGTCACCCCCTCACCATTTCTAAAAATCCAATGGTAAATGGACTCAGATGATGATAATAATAACAGAAGGCGTTAAGAGGAGTTTTGGAATGCAAAGGGTAGAAAAGCCCGAGGTATTTGACAGAACTGGCTGAGCTCAGGCTGTCTCTTCAAATGCGTAAACAGGCCTAAACCAAGTTGGGGGGGGGGGGCAGACGACACTCTCCCTGTCTTGACAACTATCAAGCTGTAGTGCGTCACAGTCCTATACATGTGACAGACTCCACCAGAACGTTTACTTGCGTGCTGCCTCCAGTTTGCTTTCCCCCAAACAAGGCTTCCAATGAAGAGACAAGTGATTCTATCCCCCACTCCTTTGGCAATCCTCCCTACTTTTGGCTGTAGATCCACCTATTCTGATGTCTTTGTTTTGTTGGAAGCTGACATCCCTGGTTACTTACCTTCTAGTGTTTTGCACCGGCCTCATCAGGCTGTCTCATTTCTTGTGTCCTTGCCAAGATGCACTTATGCATTAACAGTTTTTATTTATTTTTAATTTAACCTTTACACATTACCAAACTGTTGTGTGGGTGGGTTTAACTTTAGCTCTGTAGGTAGCATGACTCTGCTGGGGCTGAGCACCGTGGAGGAGCCTGCCCGGCCCCTCCTTTCCCTCTCTGGCCTTCTACCTTCATTGGTCTTCCCCCTCCCAATCTTCCGCTCCCCCCCCACCTCCCCCCCCCACCGCCACCACTCCCCATCCAAGTCCCCAAGATTAAAATTTTTAGTACACTTGGTTCAGTTTGAACTTTTAAGCAATTTTTAGGGAACAAAACAAAGAGGATTTTTTATGGCAAACTCCATTAATGCCACATTAAGGCTGACATTTTAATTACCCCAAAGTCAGGAAATGCAAAGTTCAGGTTCCCACAGCAACAGCAACTGTCCCCTTGAGTGCAGGCAGCACAGCAGACTCTTTGATTCCCTGATTACACAACACCAGGCGCGGGAACATTGTTTCTTATCCACGTACGTGGAACGGAACATGGTTTTTACCCTTTGTTTTTCTTCTGTAACTACAGTTGAGGCTATGGGTCTTTAGCTTCTCTCCCCAAACCATCTATATGTATTATCCTGGAACGGAAGGCTGTTATGGCCCTACATGTGCACACGGACAGAATTAAAGTTGCTGTGGGAACATTAACTCTGATTTCCGGACTTCCGTGCCAGTCACATTTAAACCATAATGTTGTAATTTTTGGCATGTAATAAATGTGCATTTCATGTACACAGACAGAAAGAAGCATAAAATGTATTTTAAAGAGCAATTAATTACTAACTTTGTGATTAAAAAACATTTGGTGCATGTTCCTTCCCATTTAGCATCAGCTGCTGGTCTTAGCCAGGCCTAATAGATGACATACTGTGTCTCATCCTGGATCTCAGATGTACTTACTGTATGTTCCTGTTCTTCTAGATAATTAATTCCCTTAGTAAAGCTGTAGGGGGAAAACAAAATGGAAGGAATATGCAAGCATGTAAATAGGGTAAAGGATATTTTGAAGGAAATGATTCATTTCTGCAAATAAACCTCTTAGTCCCTGATAGAGAGCCAGAAATCTGCTAAGTGGGTGTAGACAAAGGTTTCTGGCCACCTTAGAGCATCTGGTCCAGGGCTATAAGAACAACTTGGAAGCAGATTGCCCCCCTGAATCCCGGGCATGCCCAATGGGAGAGTGATTTTACTCTGTAATAACTTTTCAGGCTTAAGGATTAAAAAGTCATTTTACTCTGGATCAACTTTTCAGCTTCTGCTCAAACTAGAAAAGTTGTAGGGAACCAGCTAAAGTATGGGCTTTGCTGATGAGCCCGGTTGAGAGAGTAGTATTTTCTCTTCCTATTTGAATCCGGTTGACCCATTTGCATTGGGGAAGGAAGTGTTTCAAAATAAATGTTTGAACAAGTTTGTGAGTGAGAGGGATCAGTAGCAATACCCTAAGGTACAGTGTTTAAAATCACAAACGCTTGGGCGTTTATTCAAG